TAGAAACTGGACGTAAATGCGCCTATATCTGAAAGTAAGTACTACTTCGATTTGAAAAATTCTTGTTGTAATGGATAGCCCTTTCATCAGAAAAAGCTGCAAGTTATAAAATATCACGTTACGACTAAAAGGAGCCGAGCAGAGTGGATGAAACCTCACGATAATAGTAAGTTTTAAATAAGTAAGCTGTAATAAACCTGCTAACTGCGAGACTTTGGTCAGCAGTGGCAAGTTATAGGATGTTGATAATGATGATGATGATGATGATGGTGATTGCCAGGGTGTCTGTCAATCATGGAGAGCATGGAAAACTCCCTTTCAGGAGGCAGGCCTTGTTAAAATTGTCAATATTATTACTTCTGCATAACTGGTAATATGGTACACATCCATCTCTGCTTATCCTTATAGTCAATAACAAACATATGTTTAAATACTTTCACATATCCTTTACTCTTTAAAACATTATTTTCGAATCCCTACAGCAAAAGAATAAATTACAGGATTCAAAACAAGATTTACATTCAAATGTAAATTCGTGCACTCGTGGTATACTTTGAATGTCCAAAATACTGAAAAAACACATGAATGTGTGTCAAAGTATTTTAATTCTAGTTCCACTACCAAATGTATATCTGTGACATTTCCTTTTGTGAATACAAACTGTTTTTGCGCTAGTCAGATGGCGCCACCAACGTATTTGGTCCTTCACCTATAATTGTTGCTATGTAGTGAAAAGAAAAGATCATTTTCTATAGTACAAACGTTGATATTTGTTACTATTATTAACTTTTTGTATAGGGTAGTGTATAGTGTTGTAAGTGAATGGTCAGTCTCCAGTCTAAACTATTTTACTACCGAATTTCACCGAAAGCAGTTTAGTTTTCACATTTATTACAATTATATTAACGGCTTACCCACGTAAACTATTATTGTTGAAGGATGTTCGACTGGTTTCAAGTCACACCGGGGCTAATAATCTTAAATTGTTTCAAACTCATGATGACTATACATTATTATACAAAAGTATTGACTGCACGGTTGGTGCGGTGACTGGCTACCGCGCAACGTGTTGCGAGTTCGATTTCCGCACGATGCAACTCTTTGTGTGATCCACAGATTGTTGTTCCGTGTCTGGGTGGCATGTGTATGTGGACTTATATGTTTGTAAATGCACCTGCGGCGTAAGAGAAAATCCTAATGTGGGGCAAAGTTATTTAAAACATAAATTTATTAAATTACATTTGGAAGCAAAGCCAGGTAACTACAGTTTCCTAGAATGCGGTTGACAGCAGAAACTAAATAGTTAGCAAAGCTATTTGTACTAAATATTTGGTAGTGGTGTACTTTAGAAATAGTACTCAACTTTGATCAAAAGCTTACCGAGTTTGAGGTAAAATTGTTTAATATCTGAAATTGTTTTAGACCAAACTAAGTCTCGTTAATAAAATTATCCCAAATTCCTTAACTTTCACAAATATACAATAGAGGGCGGGCTAAAGAATAGAGACCTCAATTTAGGGTTAAGCAAAAGCGATGAGATCTTCTTAAACTGCAATCAACATCCGATGGCAGCAGCTGCCCAATTTCAATTAAACCATAAATTGGTAAAAATATAAAATAAATGTTAGTCTATCAGTCTGTCCGTCACTGAAGCTAGGTGCTCGTTCCAAACAGTAGAAAAAAACCCAATCCCAAACCCCAAAAACACACAACACACTGGCAACTCTTCTAGTTTTGTATCTATGGGATATACGCCCATACGCATACCGCCGGTACGTTACATCATTAATGAATGGAGTTTCTTGCCCGTTCTTCTCCATTCGAATCTACATTTTGGAATGAGCACCTAGCTTCACCTAGCTTCACAGACGGAGTGACTGACAGACTATTATTTATTTTGTATTTGTTGACGTTTCAAAAGTACCAAATTATGGTTTAATTGAAATCAATGATTTGACTTTGAAAAAAAAATCAGGTTATCCGTCATCTCATAAACCGGCCTATCTCATAAAAACACTACTGCTACTTAAAAGCTACACTGTGTTAAAATCATGACTGGAAACATACAAACCTTGGTGCTAAATTAATTTAAGAAAGCGCTGGACGGATTTAGTGGTATAAACAAGCAAGGGTTTCGGCACACAGTTTGTAAACACGTCGCTCCTGACGTCAGAACTGAACCCGTTACTACACGAGGCTGGATTTCATTGTACAATAGTACCTAAACTGTAAAATTATTTAGGACTAGCCAATTTCACGCGGTTTCACCCGCTTCTCGGCTTCTATTAATTGTAGCGTGATGTTTTCCTTGACCTTCAATCATCTTCACTTAAAAGAACACGTCAATTCATCACTCCATTTCGCCGTAAAAGACATACAAACAAACAAATACTTGCACTTCCAGATTTTTTTTAAACCACACTTGGATTTTCTCCTGTGTCGTGGGTGCGTTTACAATTTTACAATATTACATACACATGACACACAGACTCGGAACAACAATCTGTGGATCACACAAAGAGTTGTTCCGTGCGGGAATCGAACCCGCGACACGTTGCGCGGCAGCCAGTTGCCCAGCCGCCGCGCCAACAGTGCAGTCAGATTTATGATATTAGTACGAATACAGATGTTAGGAAATCACACACACACAGAACACCAGAAGTGTTACAAGTGCGTTACCCTTTATGAATTAGAAAGAGGATTGTTGGGGATTCAGGGATTGGGGAGATTAGAGTAAGGGTGAGGTTAATTTGGCCTCCGGTTACCTCACTCACACGACGAAACACAACGCAAGCGTTGCTTCACGTCGTTTTCTGTGAGGCCGTAGTATCACTCAAAACTATGTAACTAGAGAATTGTATTGTGAACCTGATTGAAAAAGAGTAACCTATGGAGTTTCTTGCTCGCTCTTCTCCATAAGAATCTACACCTTGGAATGAGCAAATATCTTTACTTTTAATTTTTTTGTTGACGTTCAAAAGTGCCTTTCCTGGTCTAATTGAAATAAATGATTTCGACTTTGACTTTGACACTCGAGTCGGCCCATTATTCATGCCAAAATATGGCTCGTCCGCACTTTCCAAAAACCCATTTAAATTAAAAAAATCTAGACATTATACAAACAAAAGTGTATATTTACCACAAACAATAAATTAACTTTATACCCCCAATTAAACCAGGTAACCGAACATGAAGTCAGAAATAAAAGTAATTTATTTGTTCTGCCATTAATCTAAATGAAAGTAAATCTTATTTTAGAATGAAAGTCGTAAAGCATGTCAATTCGCTATCACTGCCCTCACATCAAGCTATACAGAACCAGTTCATCTTGATCTCGCTTTGTACGATGTTTTCGCACATTAAACGTTCAGGTTATACTGGTATTCCATAGCTTGATGTGAGCTGTGTGTACAAATCGTAAAAGTCAGATCCGAGATGCGTGTATTAATTTATTCTGGTTATTACATGGGCTGTTTGGAAAATAAGGTTTTGAGTAGATCCAATGGAGGAGGTCAGAGAAGTTACCGAAGGCCCAATTACCCCCTAAATCTTCCCAAACCCCAACAATCCTCAAATTCCTTACCCCAATAGGCCGGTGACGCACTTGTAACGCCTCTGGTGCCCATGGGCGGAGCCGATTGCTTACCATCAGGTGATCCATCTATTGTGTGCTATTTTAGCCACAGTCGTGGCATAAAAAAATACAAGAATTTTTGTTATACCATAACATTACCTTCTTGGACAAAAGCACTAATAAAATCACCAAAACAAACGGCCCTTTGCGTCGAAATGAGTGCACGAAGTCCAAATTTAGCGAGAGTGACGCTGTGCCCGCTTTATATTGGTCATACACTCGTACGCAACCGGCATTGACGTAAACCACCAAACGAGTAGCCGACCGTAGCAAGAAATCCTAAGTACTCATAAAACAGTGTATTTCCGTATGCGAACCAATCAGAAGTTATTATTACAATGTTTTCTGTTATTTTAAAAGTGAACTAAGTATTTTGGTTTTATTTTCAGGTTAGAAAAAGTATTCTGATTTGATTTGTGGATCAAAAAAGTATGTTTTGAAGCTTAGCTACAGTGACAGACGTACGGACGGACAATTTCATATATTTATGTATTCCAATATAGTATGTAAGACTGCCTCGATGGCCGAGTGGTCGCAATTGCAACTGTCGAGCAAGGGGTCTCGGATTCGATTCCCGGGTCGAGCAAAGTAGTACTGGGTTTAAAAAAACAATCTCTCTCTCATAACATAAATAGTTAAAAGTAGGTTTTATATTGCACAGTGGCATTAAGTGCCACAATGTGCATCTCTGCCTATCTCTTCGGGGGTGAAAGACGTGATGTTCTGTTATATTAAAATAGTATCTACACAAAATACCTAATACATTTCGAGATAAATAAAGGTTTAGAAAAAATAAAGGGTCTAACAGTCCATCACTTAGTTTAATTTCCGGGGTATTCCATCTAATTGCCAGGGTCTTTCATTAACACCGGTCTTTAGTATAAAAACCCTTCGGCAAAATTTTCCGCTTGACCCAAAACCCCCGGATTTTGAAACCCTTTCATGTTTTAGATGGAAATGGACTCTATTGTTTTTTATTTAAAATGGAGGATGATATTTTTTTATATACTTATTTTTCAGATGTATCAGTCTGGTTGGTCGAGTGGCCATTGCTGAGCAACGGGTCTAGAATTCTCCAGTTAAACAAAAACATCTTACACTGTTTTCGGTTTTTCTAAATTTTAGAGTGCGAAGCCTCATTTTGAAGGGGGAAAATCATCCAATGACTTCTCCCGCCCGGGTGAGGCGGGAGGGAGTGTCAGACTCTTACTGACTAAAAACCACCCCGTTCCTACTCCTGCACTTCGAGCCGGAGCCCCGGCAACCCGTTAAGTCTTCCGCGGCTAGCGTACGAAGCCTAGTGTTGTAATAGGCTCACTCCTTATTACTTAAGACGTAAAACATAATTGCTTTTGGATGTGTAAAAATGTCAACGCCTTTGATTTTTTTAAATAAAACGTTACCCCGCACTAGGCATTTCTTCTGTGTCGTGGGTGCGTTTACAAACATATAGGTTCACATACACATCACACCCAGACCTGGATAAACAATGTATGTATCGCACAAAGAGTATTTCCGTGCAGGAATCGAACCCGCGACACGTTGCAGCCAGTTTTCCAGTCACTGAACTTGTAACAACTCTGGTGGCCGTGAGCGACGCCGATTGCTTACAATCAGGTGATCCGTCTGCTCGTTTACCGGATAATCACATAATAAAGTCTCACTCACTTACATTGTTTTATTTCATGGTCTTCCATCATTTAGCAAATACATCAGTACATAAAACATTCACATAGAAACGTGTATATAAAAAAACACTCCTGTAAATTACTGAACCGTTCAATATCACATAAACACGCGGTTTCAACTCATAACATATGCCAACAGTGTTTTCGCACGTTCATGAAAACTTTTCGGGTAATTTCGTAGATTCTATTTCAGGAACAATTTGTACCAAGTCTAGTTCATTTATAAGATGGTTTAGATTAGTATTGGTCCTTAAGTCAGGTAATGAAAAATTATTTTTTTGTAGTATAATGAAACAATACTTAGATTAAACGAATCAAAGTTTAGGAGTGGGGGCTAAAACGTCATTTCTACGTATAAAATGTACATAGAAGTGACGTCACGCGACATTTCAAATCAATATATCGTCAAAAGTATTCATATCTGTAAGAAAATAAAAAATACGTGTCTAATGGTTTAAAATAATCTACCAGACGGAGATTAAAATAAAAATTAGGCATCTATCCTATTATTATTACATATTACATTATCTATATATGTACACATATAAATATATTTGCAGTGTCAGTTTGTGATATTAAAATAACCGCTTTTTACTACATGCATATGAATATACATACGATACACATACCAAAATAACATTCTGTACAATTTTCGACAAGACAAGTTTGTTCTGGCTAATCCATGAAAAGGCTGGACCTAATTTGACGTGACTTTTAGTTGCAGTTAGCTGATGTACTAAGGAGTACCTAACTTAGACTACTTGAACCAATGTAATAAACAACAACAATAAGGAAAATATTTTTTTGGTTTGATCTTGAATTGACAATAAGAGCACCAAACAGTATTAAATTCAATATATTAGGTGTATATTAACCATATCCCTTCTTTTCCAGGCATAGTCAACCGAGGAGACTCCTTCAGACGCCGCAGATCAAGATCAGGCAGTCTAGCCCCATCTTCACCTGCACAATCAGCGCCTGAGTCTCAAGAACGCAAGCCAGTAGCGTGCCACCGAGTCGCCATGGTCGGAGCTCCAGGGGTCGGGAAGACAGCCCTCATCAGCCAGTTTCAGACGAGCGAATGTATAAATGCTTATGATAGACAACGAGGTGGGTTCTAGTTTTAATTATCTTGCTTTCAACTTATGTATCCAGTGGCTAAAGACCTCAAACACGGAGCAGAGCAGGTGAACCCCTCGTAGGAAGGGGTAGTAGTTTATAAAAGTTCTTAAACTTCTCAGCTTCGTTCTATGGTTGTATCTACTGTAGATCCTGGCTTACAGGAGTTGCAGCGGTTTTGGGAGGTTGTGGCGAGCTTGTCCCATTAAAAAAACAAAAAAAAAGCTTCGTTCTATAAAAATAACCTTAAAGACGCCATTTTGTTGGTGCATGGTAACCAATAGTTACTGTAAGCATACAAGTAGATGTCAATATTTTATTTACTGAGTCATCAACTTCGTAGCTTCAATGGCTGTCCTTTCCAAATTATAACAAGCATTTTAATATTCTTCTTCACGACATGCGATGAAGGTATAACTACTTTACGAGCCTAACTTTTTTTAAAGCAAAGAGCGGCAAATGAACAGATGTTTTGCCTGGTAGTCTCCTCGCCAATATCAATATTCAATTCTCAAATCCCAAACCCCAAAAAGGCTAAAGACCTTAACACTCGTAGTTTAAATATAATAAACGTGAAGAAAAAGTAATACATTTTTCTGTAACTCGTAATATTGCAATTTCCCTAATTACCTTGTCTGTCTATGTGTCATAAGAACGACCTAATTTATTTTTTGCTATTTTTTTCACTTTTAAACCTTAATGTAATATTTTTTAAGATTTTTAGTAAAAATTGAATCGCTTGTGTTATCAGTTATCGAGATAATACAAATGTTCGGCGTTAGGTGCCATCTGGCGTTTCGGGACTTCCCACTAAAGAAAGAAGAAAAAGAAAGTGATCTGAGAACTGAACAGTCTATGTAACGACAACGCTGTAAACTTCACGCCAAATAAAAAACAAAAGACCGCAGCACTCCCAGTTTTTGTTGTTCATTTTACTCTGAAACAAACTTGTGTCATAAGACAATTATAACAATAGTGCCACTCGGAACAAAATAATGAAGTGATTAAGAAAAAAATAAAAAGTACTGCCTCGTTGGCCGAATGGTCGCAAGTGCGACTGCCGGGCAAGGGGTCTCGGGTTCGATTCCCGGTTCGGGCAAAGTATTGGTAGGTTTTTTTAAAAAAATCACAGTAGTAGCACGGAGTCTGGAATTGTGCCGGGTATATGGCAATAGGCTTACCCCCTATTACATGGGACTCATAACATATATAGTGAAAAGTGGGTGTTGCATTGTACAGTGGTATAATGTGCACCTCTGCCTACCTCTTCGAGGATAAAAGACGTGATGTTATGTTATGTTATGTTATAAAAAGGTTCTTTTTATATTTGATGGGGCGACGTTTGACCACTATCTCGCCTGGTGGTAGGCGATGATGCGGTCTACGATGGAACACGCCTGCTCATAAGCAAACTATTCACTCGGGCCTTGAAGACACCCAGGTTACACTTCAGGAAATACAGTCTCTGGCAAAGAGAGAGGAAGGGGAGGGTAATTGGGCCTCCGGTAACCTCACTCACACGACGAAACACAACGCAAGCGTTGCTTCACGTCGGTTTTCTGTGAGGCCGTGGTATCACTCCGGTCGAGCCGGCCCATTCGTGCCGAAGCATGGCTCTCCCACACTTAAATTGTTATGTCTGATTTTATTAGTATTATTAAAAATATTCCATTTGTTTAAAAAATAAATAAAAAAATAAATAAAAATTTTTATTCATATGAACACTGGTCAACATAGGTACAAAAATATCTTATTTATGTTTATTTTCAACATGAAGTGGATTTTCTGTATTTTCTACGTAGTACGATAAAACTTGTTTTGCAACGCACGTCGAGTGAAATTCACTTAACTTTGCAATTATCCCGACCGGTTCGTTTTCTAAACTATTCTGCTATCGCATTTTACGTTTATTGTCTACTTTGCATTGTCTATCTTATTGACCGAAAGTGTTTGAGTTCAATTTTTATTTCAGCCAAAAAATTACCTTTTCATTCACTAATTCATAACATCACGCCTTTTATCCCCGAAGGGGTAGGCAAGGTGCACATTACGGCACTTAATGCCACTGTACAATGTAACACCCACTTTTCACTATTTATGTTATGAGTCCCATGTAATAGGGGGTGAGCCTATTAATTCCAGACTCCGTGCTACTACTGAGAATTTTGAAAAAACCCAGAAATACTTTGCCCGACCCGGGAATCGAACCCGAGACCCCTTGCCCGGCAGTCATTAATTCATATTAAAATTAATTCAGATAAATTTTCATTCAGAATATTTATCTAAATGTAAAAACCGTATTTCCATGCTTGTTTTAGACGAATGAACGATGTCAGGTTTATTTTTTCCATAGCCTCGCGAGTTGGAGATCGCAGCTTAAAAATTAGTTTAAAAAATGTGCAGTCTTATAAAAACTTATAATCATAAGTTTATCAAATATACACATAACATAACATGACGCCTTTTATCCCGAAAGGCGTAGGCAGAGGTGTCCATCATGCCACTGTATAATGTGACACCCACTTTTCACTATTTACGTTATGAGTCACATGTAATAGGGGGTGAGCCTTTTGCCATATACCGGGCACAATTCCAGACTCCGTGCTACTACTGATAATTTTGAAAAACCCAGTAATACTTTGCCCAGTCCGGGAATAGAACCCGAGAACCCTTGCCCGGCAGTCGTACTTGCGACCACTCGGCCAATGAGGCAGTCAAGTCTATCAAATATGTAGCCCGTTAGTTATCTCTTTCGACTACAACGGGAAGAGAATCCGGTGATGATAAAACGTATTCTACTTTGTTACAAATACAAGGTGTTGTTTTAAAGCCGCATCGTTTTCTAGGAGGTGACTCGGCTATCGGTACTGAGTCCGAATCAATAAAAAAAATGTAGGTAAATATTTTTCATTTTTATGTAAATTACGATTCGATTCTGAGTCCGAATCAATAAAAAGAAATTGTAAAAAATATTTTTAATTTTTCTGGAAATTACGGAAATCCGTAAGTGCGAACTACACGCCGCCGTCTTGTAACTAGTTTTATAACGCGGTTTAATACACACAAACTCAAACACGTAATTGATATTATTCCTAATTCCATAAAACTCCAATAAGAAACATTTCTGTCGCTTATTCTGAAATACTGTCGAACTTAAACGATTTATTATAGCCGTATTTTTAACTATTGGCCCGAAATTTTCTCTTACATTGAACCTTTATGACTTCTGTGACATGCCCCCGAGAAATGGCACGGCTTCAAAACTACACCTTGTATAGTAAACCATATGTTTTTAATACCAGGTTTTAATTGGTTGGAGAACACCCCCTTCCCTTCCTCAGTTGCTTAGTACCTAACCCCAGTTTCTCTAGTCCCCACAAAGAACGACTTACAAAGAAAAGTATGAAAGTTATTTATATTAAAATTTAAGTCTTAACTGCAGTAACTAATTAGGTTCACCGCTCTGTGGTTTCTATTTTGCCACGGACTGGGAATGCAACTTGCAATTATTTCTTTCTTTCTCTATTTTATTATGAAATTCTGTAATGAGAATAAAGGTACATGAAAAAGAAGATGATTTTTTGTGTTTGTGTCAACATTTAGACCATTCAACGCTTGGTAGTAAGCGATGATGCCACGATGGAGCACGTTTGCCTATAAGCAACCTATTTGTCAAGTCTTGAAGACGCCCAGGTTGTAACCTTTAGAAAACATACTCTGGCTGTTCGGGTCAATCACCGAACAAATAATTGTAATACGCTAAGTATACTAATCATGTCACCGTAATTGCGACACACCGCAATATGTCATGAATATATTATGTATTACTTAGGTAAAAACGCTCAGTACGTTCAGTACGTTTGTGAATACGGACGCTACTCAATCTCATCTCATTCACCTCATTAGACTTAATAGTTATCTCATTAGTATCGAAATATATCTTTCATTCTACATCCTAGAGTTTATCTTGAACTCACCCCAACCCCGAACACTGGCAAAGAACTCCAGCACTCCTACTTAATGGTTTTCATTTTAACAAAATAAATCCACAGATCTGATAAATTTTAAACGAATGTAACATAAAATTGGTACCAGTAAAATGAGTTCACTATACGATACATATAGCTCGCCCAGAAGAATTCAGATACGCAACTAAAAACCTAATGTTATAAATGCGAAAGTATGTGAGGATGTGAAGAAAGAAAGAAAGAAAAAGCATTTATATGGCCATTTTTTTTAAAGGGGGAAAAATCATCGAATGACTGCTTCCGCCTGGGTGAGGCGGAAGCAGTCAGGGAGGGAGTGTCAGACTCTTACTGACTACAAACCACCCCGTTCCTTCTCCTGCACGTCGAGCCGGAGCCCCGGTTACCCGTTAGGTTCTCCGCGACTTATATGGCTATTGGCACACGAAAACAATGATGTATGTGTGTTTGTTACTCTTCGGCTGAAGGGATGATGAAATTTGGAACTGGGGTCGACTATTATGGTCTGAAATAACACATAGACCACTTTTTGCCCCACGGGAACCTGGGCGAAGCCGCTGGCAGAGGCGCTCGAAACATTACCTGAATAAAAACATATCGATTTCGATTCGACAACATATATCCGCAAAATTCGGATTACGCAGATTATTTCGTTTTATTAATTCATTTTAATGACATTGACAGACAAACCGCAGTCGCCATCTTGAGTAAACAATAAACGTTCCGTTTCATACTAGCATTCAAATACGCCTCGCCAATCAACACGTTGTCGCGTCAAAAAAGTATAAATTAACAAGAAATATGAATAATTTCACGCAAACGAAGTCGCGGGTAATAGCTAGTACCTACATATTTCGGCATCTACGAATAACCAAGTTAACTATTTCCTTAGAAACAGCCTTAGTTTCAACAAATTAACAAAAGGATACTTGACAATAAACTAGCTAGATAGGTATGGGTAGGGAGGGTCGCCAAAAACAATTATTGTGTTCCTAACAGAACTCC